GAAAAAAAATGATTGTCGCCCGTGATTTGAGGGTCAGCGAATTACAGAGAGGGGTGTGTCCTGACTGGCGCTCTCTGTGGTGCATCTGGCGACGAGAGGAGATCTTCTGCTGAAGGTGCTTCCTCCTGCTGGGCCCAGTGTGTCTGTAGAGAGAGGTGGCTGGAGACTTGTCCACCAGATAGACTGAACAGCTGGACAGCGATCCTCACTGGCTCTGCCGACGGTCTCAGAGTGCCAGCAGCTGTCGCAGCCTCCCCCACGACAATCACCGGCCGGCTCAAACGTGATCCAGTTGGGTCTGTTAAGTCTGTTGTTATCTGCGGACTTCCCAGCCGCTGCCCCAGCATGGCTGACAGCAGCGAAGAAGATCACACTGGCCACAACAGACTCCATAAACACCATCCTCAGCCATCGTTCCGGGCCAGATGTTAAAGGAACCATCAGCCTCCTCAGGAAAAAGAGTCGGCTTTTGGCCCTTCGTTATAGACTGCCTCGTGTTTTCTGGTCCAAGTCCAACTTGTTTATTAATACGTAACTCCCCAGGGTACTTGTACTCCTCCTTACAGGTGGCCTACGGGGACCCCTGGAAATGGAGACAGGGGGTCCACAGGTGTATTTCGCCTTACCTCAGCATCCACTATGAGCTCTCTTTGTCTTTCCTCAACATTGGAAGCTGCAGATGGTTTCAAGCTCACTCCAAGTGGACAACAGTTGCGCACCACGAGTTCCTGTATTCACGCTTCTCAATCACCCGCTTTTCAATACAACACAATTTATTGCCTGAGTCCCCATCCCAAAAACTTCTGAAGGTGGCAAGGACTGCAATAGGTTTGAAGGCTCTGAACTGATGAAGAGGCGCCCTCGAGAGGAGAAGGAAGGGAAGGAGAGTTTTTGTCCAACAAATAACTCCACATACTTAATGAAATATATGGAAAAGCCAACAAATGAAACAGCCGCCCTAGATCAGTCTTTGTGCCAGAGTCTGTGAGTAGCGTTTGGAAATTGGTGAGTAACGTTTTGGGTTGGTTGGCGGCACTACGGTTCATCGTATCCTGCCACCACCTTATTCCACTCCTCGCAGTTGTTCAATCATGATGTGACCCTTTTTATAGCTTAAAATAACAATTACAACACCAAATTGGTGGGATAAAATGAAAACTGTTCATTCCAGTGCGATAAGAAACCTCACCTAAAACACCAGGAAACCATCTTTTGGGAATATTTATTTGACGTGTTCTTTGACTTTTTTAGTTGGTTCACGTCCCTTCCTGCTAAAATGGTGACAGTCGAAGATTATGAGCTATACTGCAGTCCAGCACCAAGGGGGTGGATTAAGAATTTTTTAGCTTCACTTTTGGAGAGCTGGTCATGTCAATCCCCCATCACTTTATATGTGTCCAATTTCTATCAAAGAATAATGCCTGTAAGTCCAAAGGTTAGCAAACTGTGTTTCGGTTCACAAGAGCTTACTGCCCTCCCATCAGCCTCCTCATTGGGATGTGTATGTTTGATTCTGCATGTTCATCTTGGGTAAGTTACAAATTTTCTTCAAACACACTATATCGATTTGTGTAACTGCCAACCACCTGGATAGCAAGTGTTTAGACTCATGTTGTTGTTTATAGTACGGGACTGGTGGATTATACATAGTAGATCCACTGTTCTGGTTTGCATAAAAAAACACTGTTGCCCTTAACAGTTGGAATAATTTTGTTTTCAAGACATACATTCCTATTTTTATTCCTATTTATACACATCAGTTAATCACCTTTAAAACCAGGTTGGCAATGATTACATACTGGTCCCTGTTACCCAGGTGAAAAAAAATTCAAAATTTCCAAACAATTGTTCTGGACACTATAAAAGGAAGAAGTTTGCTGTGTTTCTTTTCTTTTCCCAACCCTTTTTTCCCCCCCCCCCCAGTTTGGACCATCTTGCTTTCCAGGCCTGGATTAGCAATAGAAAAGGAATCATCATGGTATTCACAGCTACAAGCAGTCATGAAATATTTGTGTCAGCTCTTCCTCTTTTTTCTCTCCTCTCACTTTTATTCCAGATGTTTCACAGAGTCGGTATGAAGGAGGGGACTTTGTGCCAGCCCACCTATGTTTACCCTGAGGAGGTGAAGATGTTCATGCGCTCTGTCTTTCCACAGAACATCTGTGACTACCCCGACCCCTGCCATGATCAGGTGAATATGAGCTCCTTTTACAGTTCATGTAGTCTCTGAGGTAGAATCAGCTCAGAATCAGAAGGTCAGTGTATCCTGTGGCAGTATGCACCACAGACACTTGGTGTCAGGTGGACTTAATTTGAAAGGAGATATTGTAAATTGTATTGTATGCCATTTTAAAGGAAACCCTCACATATGAAAGAAGTTGACTTTTTCAATGAATAAAACACAAGAATAAAAGAAGACACAATGTACAACACAAATTACAAAGAATAAACAAAATACAGAAAGACAAATGAGAGAAGTAAACTAAAAAATACACTGATCAGATGAATCAGAAGAGAAGATAGATCATAGTACTGGGCCGTATGACCAAACATTTGTACAATTTACTATCGTTTTTTTTTTTCTTTCTTTATATGGGTTTATAGTGGCTTATTCTACTGTACTGTAGGAGTACATAGAATATAAATTATAAATGGTCTTGGGGCCACTGCTGGTATTGTACCCCACCGAGCA